GGCAGAAACCACTCTGGAAACAATTTGCAAAGTTGGTTACGACAGTCTCGTAAAGTTGAACATGAATGAAGCCCCTTGATTCTAGGATCTAGAGAAACTGTTAGATATATGCACCACGAATATGTACAAAAATATTTGTGGTAGCCTTATCTGTAATAATAAAAAATTTGGAAAGAATCCAAATAAGTAGATCATGGTCTATTTATACCGTGATGTATTAAATAGCACTGAAAATGTACAAACAGCATGTTTGTGCAACAACATGCGTGAATCTGAGAAATACAGAGTGATAAAAGCAATCACAGATGAATGTTTTAACATGGCTCAAAATCAAATAAAACTAAATAATATGTTATTAAGAGATACATACATACATGATTTTAAAAAAGAAAAACTATTTTAGAAGCAAGAGAATAATAAATGAATTTCTGCATTGTGGTTACAGAAAGACGGGATGGGACTGGGGAGAAATACTCAAGAAGCTTCAAAGGTATTGGTAATGTTCTAGTTCTGAGGCTGGCTGGTGGATTCATTGTTATTCCTCTTATTCAATAAACACACACACATTGGCTGTATACCTGTATTCATTGTATATATTGTTTTATATGTATCAACCAATTTCCATAACAAAAAATGTTCATTCCGTAGATGGCTTTCTAATGGCTAACGTATTCAACTGGGGAGCGAGGGGCTATGGAGACATCCGGGTAGCTGTTTCGTCAGCTGATAGAGAAAAATATATATTATTCTGGCAAGAGGCCTGGGTCAGAGTTCAGTTTTGGCAGTTATCACGATAGAGGTCCTCAGATCTGGGGAAAGAATCTGGTATTTCAAGATGTGGGAATTCAAGAACTGGGTAGACCAGAATGGATAACATAGAATGGATGATGTATATTGGTGGAAAGTTAATGAAGTCAGAGGAAAGAAAAGAGTGTGGTTTCCTAAGAGAGTATCAAATGTTCTGGAATACGTGTGCTCACGTTAGTAGAAAGGATGGTTGATGATGTCTGGTGTAAGAGTGTTCCTGGAACCAGAAGCTTGGGAAAGAAGAGAGGTCCAAAGCTGGAGTGGATTGTTTCCATACAGGGTTTGTGCTCTAAGATAAACATTTGGAAAAGTAAACATACGTATTTAGGGATAGACACCCTGAATGTTGGAGCCCTGGTGGCAAAGTGGTTAAGAGCTTGGCTATTAACCAAAAGGTCAGCAATTCAAATCCACTCGCCACTCCTTGGAAGCTATGGGGCAGTTCCACTCTCGTGAGCTGGAATCGACGCGACAGCAATGGGTTTGGTTTATTTATTTATTTATATCCTGTATGTGAAGAGTGGGAATAGAATTATGGCTTTTAAACAGATAATCAGTTAACCAGTTGCTGTAGAGTCAACTCTGACTCATGGTGACCCCATGTGTGTCAGAGCAGAACAGTTGCTCCGCAGGGTTTTCAGTGGCTGATTTTTCAGAAGTAGATTGCCAGGCCTTTCTTCCAAGACACCTCTGGGTGGACTCAAACCTGCAACCTTTCCCTTAGCAGCTGAGCGCGTTAACTGTTTGCACCACTGAGGGACTCCTTTAAATGCATAGCTCACCTCATTCCGACTTTCCCTAGTGCAGGCAGGGACAGAGTACCCGATAAGCAAGGTACACACGGTCTTACTTGTGCTTACTTACTGATCTGTAGTGCACAATGTCACCTTTTCATGTCACCTTTGCTGTGGTGAGACCATGTGAAATTGTTCACCACAGATTAGTAAGTAAACACAATGAAGCGCATGCTCACCTGGCCTGCTGTCAGCCTGTGCACACCTGGTTGACTGGTTAATCCGCCCAAGTACAGGAATTGATACCCTGCAAGTGTGGGGACACACAGAAAAATCTTCGTTGGTAGCTCCTTGGAGCAATTTCCAAGCTCCCAGATGGAAGGGAGAAAATCCCATGAAGGTGGCCCACAGGGATGAAAATTCACCTCCTGGGCCTGATGGTTTACTGTGCGGACAAAGGAAGAGGAAGCGTTTGAAAGTGGGCTCATGTGTCATTCATTTCCTGAAGCCCCGAGTCAGGGACTCAGCTTGCTGTGGGTGCTTCTTACTTGTTAAATCTGTGTTTGCTTTCTAGGCTGAGATATTTGGAACATTTTGCAGGAGAAGAAAAACAGTTGCTTAGTCATCTTCCCAGGGGATGTATTTGTAGCAAGCGCCCGAAGGCCTCTTTGCAGCTGTCTCCAGGGAGCAATTATCGCGGTGATTGTTTCGAACCTTGGCCCTGGTGAACGGCAGCACCAGCACAAGTAGCGTTTTGCTAGCACGGAGGGAAAAGTGTACTCAGAATCGGTTCAGTCAGCACCTCCCGAACACCTTGCTGCATGGCCTGGAGGGGCGTCTGACTCAGAGGAAGAGGGGCTCCCGTCTAGGGAAAGAGTGTGGCCCGGTCACGAGAAAGGGGAGAAACGGGAAGTTTTCCTCTGAGAGAGGTCAGTGACAAAGTGGGGACGATGACGTGGTGATAAAGGAGAGGCCGGGAAGAAACAGAATGGAATCTATTGGCAACAGCGAACCGGGAAGGTGCTTCAAGTTTTCAAATTGTTACCTAACTGGAGTAGCAGCAGAAGAGGGAGAAAGAGAAGAGAAATGATGGATGCTTTGATAGACCTAATCAATCACTAATTAACTTTCCGTTCACTTGAAGAGTGGGGGCAAGCCTGAAATGGTGAAAATTAAACCAACATTCCCATTTTAGAAAGGAAATAACTGGGTCTGGAGAAATAGAGCCCGGCTCCCGTTCAGGGGAATAATAACAGGTAAAAAACAGCCCACTTGCTGTGGAGTAGGCTCTGACTCATGGGCCCCCCATGTGTGTCAGAGCAGAGCTGCGCTCCAGAGGGTTTTCAGTGGCTGATTTTTCGGAAGCAGATTAACAGGCCTTTCTTCCCAGATGCCGCTGGGTGGACAAGAACCTCCAATGTTTCAGATAGTAGTCGAGCGCTTAAAGCTTTGCACCACCTAGGGACTCCACCAAAAAAAAAAAAAAACTCGTTGCTATCGAGTTGATTCCGACTCATAGTGACCCTATAGGACAGAGTAGAACTACCCCATAGGGTTTCCAAGGAGCGGCTGGTGGATTCGAACTGCCGACCTTTTGGTTAGCAACCGAGCTCCTACCCACTGGGCCACTAGGACTCCGGGGGCTCTACAGTTACTGTTTATTAATGCCAGTCACTATTCTGAGTATTTCACTTGTATTTTTTTTATATAATTATCACACAAACAACTCTGTTGATAACTATTATTATCCTGTCTTACAGATGAGAAACAGGAAAGCTGAGAAGGTTACATAGCTCAGCGAGGTCGCCCAGCTAGTTCACAACACCACCAGGATTTATTTCTAGCTGCGCGGTCTGCGCCCTGAGCTGCTCAATCTCCCACCACGGCTCAGGCATCATTTCCACACTGAGCCATAATCTAAGGTGTGTGAGAAACGGAGACGAACGCGCCCGTGACATCCAGACACTGACTGGACGGTGCGTGTGTGTCTGTGTTTCTGGTTCCCTGCTCCCTTTCCCCAAATCCCGGTATTCTGCACGAATTCTCCTATATACAAAATGTGGATAGCACTCCTGGTTATGACTGTAATCTCAGTGTATGGGGGAAGGCCATTAAGATTATCAAGCAGTGTTGGCAAATGTAATTCACAATCTGGAAGTGTTTAAAGATGAAGTTGCTAGAAGAAAATAACTAGGTGGATGGGAGGAAAAAGGACTAGAAAAGACAAAATCACCAGGGAAGACCAACGATGGTTTTATTTTGTTACAAAGAAAAGGAACACATTATCTGGGATATTGATACCAAAGAGATGAAAATATCAGAAAGTTAGGAATTGTTGCTTTCAGTACTGGAATACACTCAAAGCTGTCCTTGATTCCAGGTGGTGTGATATAAGAAGAAACTCTGAGGCAGGAGCCTCAAGATCTGGATTCAAGAAAAAGCTTTGCCATTTGTGAGCTGTTATCTTTGAAAATTTATTTATTCTCTTATTTATTCACTTAACAAATATCCTTTGAGCATCAACTATGCACCTCATTGTTCTCAAAGCTGCCAGGAGGATGATATAACAGCAGGCCTAGTTGCTTCTCTTCTGGAAGTTTGTATTGTGCAGCAGGAGTCAGCAAACTTTTCCTGCAAAGGGCCAGATACTACATGACTTAGGCTTTGTAGGCTATCTGGTCTCTATGGCAACTACTCAACTCTGCCGCTGCAATGCAAAAGCGGTTCTAGACAATAGGAAAAAATGGACATGGCTGTGTTCCAATAAAACTTTATCTACAAAAACAAGAGGTGGACTGAATTGGCTGGTGGGTTGTAGTTTGCCAAGCCCTGGTCTAGAGGAGGAAACAAACATTAACCAAATAATTATACACATCATAACATGTGCAAAGGCCCTGTGGCAAGAGGACACACGAAGAAAGACAAGATGGTTGTTGCTGAGAGAGTGAGGGGAACATAATGTGAGTGAGGCTGGAAAGAGAGCGAGAGGCCAGGCCACCAGGCTCTTGTAGGATGAGGAGTTTAGTCTTTACCACATCAGCAACTGGCAGTCATTGGATTATTTTGAGCAGCATGATGACATGAGCAGATTTGAGTTTCAAAAGATCATTCCCTGCAGCGTGTAGAATGAGCTGGGTTAAATGTCTTTATCTGAACATGAAGATGACCACACTCGCCCAGTGTATCTGAGAGTTTATTGTGGTGAGCAAATTACACAAGGTGCGTGGAAGCGTTTTATAAAATGTAAATGAGGTAGAAAAGTAAATAGTCATATTTTACAGGAAGCAACACCACTAGAAGATCATATTCTTTTGAATTTTCTCTGGGAACTAAGACAGCCTGAACTCATGAGAAAAATCTTTTTTGTTTATGTTGTATAAACAGGCTACCTTCACCAGGGTAACTACTCCCTGGGGTGTTCACTAAAGAGCAGGACCTTTTCTCGTTCGCTCACACTGTCTTTCTCCTCCTCCCCTCGCCAAGACACATCTGGATTGCTGCTTGGACCTAGGCAGGGCGCCAAACACATGAAAATTTACCAAGGATAAAGCTTCTCAAGAATGCGATGGATTCCAGGGCAGCCTCCCCTGAGAAGCAGGATAAAGACGATTTAGTGGGTAAGTTTCTTTTCCTGTCTTAAGTTTGCGTTAGGTACACTGAGCAGAGTGAGAGCTGCAGCATCACAGAGTGCGCGTGGGAAGAATCAATCCATGGAGCCACGGCTTCAATTTTATGCCGAGCCCAGGAGTTTGGCTCCATTACTTATACTGGTTCTATCTGCTTCTTGAACTTGCTCTTTTTCTTCAGTTCTAGAGAGAATTTGCATTTATCTTTGCACTCATTTTTTGTATTAGATAGCAAAGGTATGTCAAAGAGGCTGAATTTCTCAATCTTTAAATGTCATCTGATGATATTAAAAGGAAAGTTGATTGAGCTGCATCATGTCTGATAAATGGAGAGAAGTTGAGAAGATAAAACTCAGCCCACCCAATCCTACCTCTAATCCTAATGGCTAGTCTATATTATAAAGCATATTGCTTGCGTTATCTTTTCAAATCCTGCCATAGTTATAGCTAGATCCTCTGATAATCTCATTTTACAAATGACAACACTGAGTCTTGGAGTGTTTGAAAACTTGTTGAAGGTTCAGAAAGAGATGATGATGTAGAGTGTGTGTGTATTTTGAACCAAGCGTTCATTTAATCTGGAGTACATGTCCTAATCGCTGCTATATACTACTTTCTAGCGTCAAAGAGGAGTCCCTTAGGTGGTGCAAATGGTTAAGCGCTCGACCACTAGCCGAAAGGTTGGTGTTCAACCTACCCAGAGGTGTCACTGAAGACAGCCCTGGAGATCTGCTTCTAAAAGACCACAGCCTTGAAAACGCTGTGGAGCAATTCTCCTCCGCACACGTGGGGTCGCCATGAGTCAGAATCGACTGGAGGGCACCTAACAACAGTCGTGTTGCCAAAAATGTCATACTACAAGTTAGAAATAAAGAAAACATCTTTTGGCATTATCACTTTGTAAACTAAAAGTATACACGGAGAGAAATTTACCTGGATTGGAAAGTAATTTTTCTCTTGAGTAGGCATAAAAACCAACCAGGTGTCACTGAGTCAACACCAAATCATGGCAACCCCAACTCACAGCAACCCCATGTGTGTCAGAGTAGAACAGTGCTCCGTAGAGTTTTCAAAGGCTGATTTTTGGAAGTAGATCACCAGGCCTTTCTTCCGAGGTGCCTTCTGGGTGGACTTGAACCTCCAGCCTTTTGGTTAGCAGCCACACAGGGATTCCTGAGTCGGCACAGCAACACTGATATGCTGGAGGCAGTAAATATTGTTTGAAGTGCTAGTGGGAGGTCTCACCAAGACTGCTGTTCCATAGCTTTTTAAACTAGATGTTTCAGCTTCCATTTAACAGGTTAAGATATCAGCTGGGTAGATGGCATGATTGAACTTGTATTATCGGTGAGATATTTGAAAGTGCTCCTGGGTTTTCTTGGTTTTGATTTTTTAATATAATGAAAAACTTGCACAATCAAAGAACAAACAGAACCGGGGCCTATGTTTTACAACTTTTGATTTCAGGGCTTTTGGCAGTTCTTTCATATGCTTTTGGCAGTTTACGAGAAATGCAACCTGTATCATTCTCTGGGTTTATGGGATCACGTCCGTGCCTTGTCTTCCTTCATCTCAGACACTGCTTGCATGAACGAGACAACATTGTTTACTGCTTCAAGCTTTACAGAGGTTTCCATTCACAAATGGTGAGGGAGCACAATGAGTGATCGAGCCCTTCTCATCACCTCCAGTGTCCCTGGGCTGTGCGTTTACTGCTAACGGAAAGAGGGTAAGGCACTTAACTGCTAACCCAGAGGTTGGAGGGTTGAGTCCACCCAGAGGTGCCTTGGAACAAAGGCCTAACCATCTCCTTCCGAAAAAGACAGCCATCAAAAACCGTGTGGAGCACAGTTCTGTTCTGACACACTTGGGGTCGCCATGAGTTGGAGCTGGTTTCTTATTTTTGCTGTCACCTCTAGCAAGAGCCTTACGAGGTAGAATGCCGCTGGCTCATTCTAGCCTTCAGAAGGCACTGAGCACATGTCCTCACAACTCCAAGCTCAGTGACATCACATGAGGAGCTTGGAATCGTTTATGGGGGAAATACGTACGCCACGGAAATGCTATACATCAGGGCTTTTTCTCCCCAAAGACCCAGTTGTTAAACGTTGCCTAACATGGCGCTACTTTGAAATTCTCTCCCACCCCTTTCTTTCTTCTTTATTTAAGTGTTAAAGCGAAGTTAATTGGAGTCTAGATCCCTTAAGTCTTAGAAGTTCTTCTCCACAATGAGTGTGCATAAGAATCTTCCTAAACAGCTTGTTAAAACACAGATCCTGGCCCTCCCAGGAGTTCCGGCACTGTAGTCTGGGTGGCCTGAGATTTTGTGCACAAAGAATCACACTTTGAGTAGTACTGTATTTCAGCACTTGCCCACTTTCCTGAAAGTGTTTCTCGAGTGCAGGCTGTGTGCATATTTCAGAGAAAAAAGCAGGAGGGAGATAGATGACAGATGATGAAAAGATAGAGTTTTCCCCCAGGGCTTCACTTTAGGCTTTCTGTTTGATGCTTAAAATCCTCGATTCTCAAGAGAAAGAAGCAGGAAGTTGCTGTACCTCTGCTTGACTGACTGTATCTGCACAGGGTTAGAAGTGAAGAGAGAAAAGAGTTGGTAACACTACATCCCCGAGCCCAGGGAACGTGACTGTTCTCACTCTGCACATTGCTTCTCTCCACACTGGGAAGCATCAGGAGATTGTTGTTGTTGTTTTTACTTGATGTGACAAATATTTTTAAGTTACTTTTAAAATTATAAAGGTATTCAAAAACCAACAAAACTCAGAACAATACAAAGAACTTCAACCACTGGAAATAAATGCTGTTAATATTTTGTTTAATTTTCTTCCAATATTTTTACTATACATATGTTTCTACTAATTGGGATCATACCGTCCATATGATTTTATCTTGCTTCTTTTTCTGTCTTAATATTGTACTATAATAATTTTCCTATGTCTTTGAAATATTTTTGTAAATCTTTTAAAAATATGCATGATATGATATTGTGTAAATGTATTATGGTTTGCTTAATGATCCCTCCATTGTTGTGTTTTTGGGGTATTTCTGATTTACCACTATTATAAATAACACTGTCACAAGAATGTCTGGGCATCAATCTCAAGGACAAAGTAATCGTCCTTGTTGCTGAGGTACCCTTACCTTACCCTGTTGCCGTCGAGTTGATTCCGACTTGTGCGACCCTGTAGTAGTGCTGTTATTTCAGGCAAATCCAGAAGGTGGGAGGGTGGGGAGAGGGAAGGATGATGCAAGGAAACATTTTCTCTTTGTTTTCTTCTCACAGTGGTGGGGGGGTGAGGGGGGCGTGAGGCCAGACGCTGAAGCAGAAAATGTCAAGGCATATGGTTTTCAGGCTAATTGCCCCTCTTGAGAGACAAGAGAACTTCATCTAATGGGTCATGATTTCAGACCAGAACCTTCAAGCAGATCAATAAATCTGTCATGCTGCTGAGAATCACTCTGGGACTTCAGCGTGTTTGATGGGCCACTTCCTCCCGTGGTCTGTTGAATGCACTCAGCATCTATTGTGTATCAGGCCCTGGAAATGGAAACATAAAAATAAAATGTCTGGTCTTAAAGCACTAAAAGTTTACAGGGAGGACAGGCGCGTTCACTAAAACTTCCAACGTGCCATGTAAAGTGGTGATAGAGGGCGTATTATACATTCAGAAGAGGCGCATGCAGGGGTGTTGCCTGGTGACGCAAACCCTTCCTAATAAAGAAGGAGACGTTTGAGCTGAGCCCTGCACACATGGGATCGCCATGAGTCAGAGTTGACTAGATGGCAACTGGCTTAGCATGTGGCTTGACTGAAAATTCACAGGGAGGACACACGCATTAACTAAAAATTCCAGGGCCCTGCAAAGTGACAGTAGATACCTGGGTCATCTAGGCCCATAAGTGACACTGCTGTGCAAGACCATCGGAAGCTCTGACACCTGGAAGCTGAATCGCTGACGTACTGAGAGCCAGTGTGTCACGCCTGGTCACTGAATGGCAGGCTAGGGAGGGTCTGCTTCGTTTGACTGATAGGGAAAGAGCCACATTGGAATTCATCGAGAAGCGGCCCCAGGGCAAGCTGCGTTTGGGGGCAGCCTCCAGGGGGGCTGCACCAACGAAAACCCATTGCCTTCCAGTTGATTCCGACTCATAGCTACCCTATATGACAGACTAGAACTGCCCCATAGGGTTTCCAAGGTTGTAAATCTTTATGGAAGCAGACTGCTACATCTTTTTCCTGATGGGTTCGAGCCACCGACCTTTCAAGCACTTAACCACTACGCCACGAGGGCATCCATAAAAAACTGTTAGAGTTATAGAATATGGTAGTCTTTAGGGCATGTGATGATGATAAAATCATTATCCAGTTCTGCACTAAGGATCTGGCATCTCTATTTTTTTTAGGGTTCCAAAAGTGATCTGAAAGAACTTCTGACGGTGGCTGGATTACTTTAGCAGATAGAAACCCTCAGGGGTCTAGGGGTTTTACTGAATGTGCTCCTTGGAAAGTCAGTTCATACAAATATCAGACCAAACCAAACCCATTGCTGTTGAGTCAATCCCGACTCATAGTGACCCTATAGGATACAGCAGAACTGCCCCATAGGGTTTCCAAGGAGCACCTGGTGGTTTTGAACTGCCAACCGTTTGGTTAGCAGCCGAGCCCTTAACCACTGCGCCACCAGGGCTCTGTTACACACATAGAGAAGCCATTATCTGGATGGACCAAGACATCCACAATTGATATTCGGAGTCCTGTCTGGTAAAAGAAAAAATTAAACTAAAACAAAATACGATGTAATTGTAAATCTAAGAAAATTCTGGGTAGTTGCCTGGACAGCTAGAGGGCCTCGTGGTCTGACTCATGACTCCTTTCTGTAGATTATTTGACTTCATCCCCACAACCGGCTGTTCTCGTCATCATTACCATGTCACTGAGAAGGCAAGTAAGACACACACAGGCTGAGTGACTT